TGTGAATCTTGTCTTCCTTTGCTTAAGGGCATGTCTTTTGTGAATCCTTCATTGTGGGTCGTACGTTGTACCTTATTGTTGAGCTTGTTGCTTGTGGTTCTATTGTCTTATTGAGTATGTTGGTCTTTGTTCTTTGTTGTGAGTGATTGATGAGTCTATTGATGTTTCCTCTCTCTCGGCTTTAAAATGATATATAATGTATTCCCAGTTTCAAATGGTTTTGATTATATCTATGTATATTATGATACTTAACACGTGTTGGTGGGTTACCAGCATTATTCGCTGACCAGGTGTTATCCCTTTATCTTTTACAGGTTGAGTAGCTTTGGAGAGCGCGCTAGTGGCATGTAGATAGATTAGATCTCTTTCTTTAATAGTTGTTGAGGCCTGTGAGCCTAAGTAGTTGATCTGTTAGACTGCTTAATAGTTAGTGTTTGCCTGTGTACCTAATGTTGTGTAGGTGTGGCATAACATCTCCCAGATTTGTGTAGTTAGCTTCCGCTTTGCTTATTCTTAATGATTAGACTTTACCTCTTTCATAAGCTTTAATTTGGTTTTAAAAGTTGTTGAAATTCGGGGGTGTTACATGCACTGTTGAAAGAGCCTTTACCTCTTTGCGTACAAATTATTGATGCTCTGAGGCCAAATGCCTTTGCTTATACTTAACCAGTTATGCAATAGGTAAGACTGACAAGTGATGGCAGATGACCAAGCGATCAATCCCCGTCATGTCCTCGGGACCCCATGCGAAGATATCTCTTTAAGCGACCAATACACTAACCATCTCAACCCGCATCTCTAAAGGTAGTTCGACACCAATCTTCACTACTCATCGCTCTGGTCGGTTCGGGTACAATATGGTTTTCTCTATTTTCGAGAGCAGTTATGGTTGCTCTTTATTTTCTTCATCTCACTGCTTGCTAATGGTACTAATCCGTGAAGAAAACCTGGCTTCTTTTTAACAGCTTTAATGTAACATTGTCGAGTAGATCTCAAATCTCCCAGAGCATTCCTACCCCCCTCCAGCTGGCGTGCAGAATTTCATGTAGATGTGCGTCATGGATACTACTACTTTTGCCTTAGATAATCCCAATCGCCCTAGAATCACATTGTGTACACACTCTAGCCATACCACCAAAAATTCCATCTTAGTGTTTAGCACATTTGGTGGTGTCCCTAACTCCACTAGCAATTCCACTACCCCCTCTGGTTGTATTCTATCGCCCGTAAAACCTAAAAATAGTGTTGAAACTTTCAAACAATTCCACTACCCATCTCACTTTCGGACCACAGTTGGTTAAATTTTGAAAGGTGAAGGACCATGGATGGTTAACTTGGACCACGGATGGTAACAATTTGAAAGTCGAGGGATCACGGGTGTTAATTTAAAAGTTTAGGACTAAATGTGGCAAAATCACTATACTCGAAGGACCCTATATGGCATTAACTTGGAAAACGTTTATAGCAGTCTTATCATCCATCGGCTCTACCTCTCCCACCTCGTTCTTTTACCAGACCAACAACTGGGACAAGAGTTTGCGGTCTATCTGCCAAACAGTGTTGAGGTGCGTGAAAATCGATCTCGAGTTCGCAAATTGACGAGTGAACTGGGCGGCTAATTCGGCAAAATTGTTGATTGACCCTAATTCCAATGTCTTATGACATTCCATCACCCTCCTAGGGAGGGTCGAGAAGAATGTTCTGAAAATTATCACATATAATACTCCCATCATCAGCATATTCTCGTAGTATGTGTTGACATTTTCCTTCGAGTCGATTTTACCATTGTAATTATTGTTGCATGGAACCCTTAAGTCAATTAGATACACCTCATGCATTATCAGGGCCATGAAGGGAATTGTGATTAACAAATCTATAGGTTCCACTGATTTTTACACATGGCGATCCCTCCACCACCGAGACATCTCCTTCCGAAGGTGCGCCAGTACTCATCTCGGTAGGTCTGCCTCTTCGTCCAGTATACAGTTTGTGTCCCTCCGAACATCTGACACACTACTCTCACTAACTCTTTCGAATGGCCTCTCCCGGGCCAAGCGAGATCGAAACAAGTCAACATGGACTCACGCTCATATGAGAACCAATCGCATCCGTCTACCAGTCTAGATCTAACGGATCATATGTAATTTTTTTTAAAAAAAAAATTATGTGGCAATTTTATAAATAACTTGAACTTTGGTACAAGTAACATGTATTAAAAGTGCAAGTAACTGGTACAAGTGTGCAAGTAAAATCACTTAAAAATGCAACCATTTTCACTTAATAATGCAAGTAATTTACATTTTCACATTAGTGCACCTAATGATAACGTCTTTCAGTAAGTGATCTGCAGGGCAGGATTTTGGGTTGTGCAAGCTACCCAACAGGATAGGGCCTCAAATTTTAGAGGGCCCAATATTTAATTTTTACCTAACTAGTTAAGAAATTAAAAAAAAAATTGTAATTAATCTTAAAAGACTCTGTGGAGGAATGGTAGATATGCGTGTCTATAGTGTATGCCTTCTGTTTTTTTTTTTTTTTTTTTTTTTGGGATAATGGTCAAATAGACCCTCCAACTATATACTAAAGTTCAATTAGACCCTCAAACTAAAAAACATCCAATTAGACCCTTAAACTTGTTAGATTTGTGCAATTAACTTATTTAACAGGTTACCTTTAGTAACCTGTAAACTTTGCTTACATGGATTGTGAAATTCTATTTAAAAATTAAAAAATATATTTTTTTAAACTAAATTTAAAAAAAAAAAATATTAATCTCTGTTAACCTTCTTCGAACTGCCATGGCAGCCAAGCTGCAATTGGCTGTGATGGATGACTGCCAGGCAACTTAGCTGCCATGGCGGGCTTCTGCAATGGACAAGAAGTCATGGCAGCAGCTGCCATGCATGGAGATGCCCCATGGACTCTTTGTCCATGGCAGCTGCTGTTATGGACAAGAAGTCATGGCAGCAGCTTCCATGGAGTTGCCCCATGGCAACAACTTCCATGGAGTTGCCCCATGGATTATTCGTCCATGGTAGCAGCTGCCATGTCGCTGCAATGGTTTTTTTTATATATAATTTAACTTTTTGTAAATAAATATTATTATTTCTCAAAAATAAATAAATAAATATTATTATTTTAATTTTTATAAAATATAATTTTTAAAAAATGTTAATCTAAGTGGCATCATATGTGGCATGTGATCTAGAAGTAACATATTATTATAGGTCAAATAGGTTAATTGCACAAATTTAACAAGTTTAAGGGTTTAATTGGAGGTTATTTTAGTTTGAGGGTCTAATTGCACTTTAGTTTATAGTTAGAGGGTCTATTTGACCTTTATCCCTTTTTAAAAAATCCTTTTGCTTTGTGCACACCTTCTTTTATTTTTTTTCTTTTTTTTAAAAAATTCTTTTGTGTTTCTCTTTGCGCATAGCAGCATTTTACCACATCATTATTATTATTATTATTATTATTGTTGTTGTTGTTGTTATTGTTGTTGTTGTTTTTATTGTTATTTGTATTATTATTATTGTTGTTGTTATAATTGTAATTAATTACATAATATCTTTCATTCTTTTGTCTTTCTCTTTGCACACAACATTTTACCACATTATTATTATTATCATTATTATTATTATTATTATTATTATTGTTGTTGTTGTTATTTTTATTCATATTTGTATTATTATTATTGTTGTTATAATTGTAATTAATTACATAATGTCTTTTGTCTTCCTCTTTGCGCACAACAACATTTTACCACATTATTATTATTATTATTATTATTATTATTATTATTAGGGTATTGATTTTAAAAATTACTCTTTTGGTAAGATCTCATTTGTTTACGAGAACTAGACCATAAAAATTTAAAAATCGGTCCTGGTGATCTGCAACCCACATGTTAACTAGATAATCTATTTCTATGTTTGATTGCTTGAAATGATTTTCATATCCTCCCTATATCATTTGTACTATTTTGTTCTCTGATTTGATTTAATGAATTCTTCGTTTTGTTTAAAAAAAAAAAAAAAAATGTTGAGCAGGAGCACCCACTTGGTCTTCACGGAATGACTTGTTCATCATGCCCCAACGACGACCCCTCTCCACAATCATTACTCTTTAGTCTTTATCCTTACTTTTTATTTGAGTGGTAAGGTGTGAAGGCAACAGCGGATCGGAGAATCAATAATCAATAATCAATAATCATATAGCCCGCCCACACTTCTAGAAACAAGACAGCATTGGGTGTTCCGAAAATGACTTTAAGGCTAAGTGTTGGATAAGGATTAAGGATCGGAAACGGATGATTTTAGATTTATTAATGCACACAAACACATCACTTTCCAACTAGTTACTCATCTCTATTTTTATTTTATTTTTTATTAAATAAATTCTATCACATTCTTATCTGATTACCGATTACGTATAAAATATATATCTCCAGAAATACGAGTAATACATACATACGTACATATGATGGGATGATTGATTTTGAAATTTTGAACGCGTTGACACAGTAATCATTCATGTGTAACTAATTTTTATATTTTTATTTTAAAAAAAATTACAATATACACCGTATTTTTTTTTACCATTATTGACTCTATTACAAAGTAATATATATTCTATACTTTATCAAACTATTAGAGCATAAAGAGTCAATTCCCCACCATCGATGTTCGATCATGTGACCTTCCCTCAAGAGAAGCTACAAAGGTGCCATCTAAACACAAAGTGCGTATTTTTTTAATGTACGTGATTATAACATTTTGTTTAGTTAACTAATCAATACAAATGTCATAAGTACGTAGCTTGTCTGTTCCGAAGATAAAGGGGGCATTAGTGAGAATATTATTTTTAAAAATTATTAAGAGTGTCCTTATCAATCAGTTGAATTACATAACTAAGATGATTGATCACATTTTTTTGATTAGGTAACTAATTAGCTGAAAGAAAATGAATTGTTGACACATTTCAGGGCAGGGCTGGGCTTTGGAAAGTAATGCCATATGATAAAAAAAGTTAAAAGCAGTAGTAAGTGGATATATCATATAATAATCCGCAATCACAAAATTCAAGAGGGAACCTTTTGTGTTGTGTTTTGCGGGAAGGGGAGTCTGAGGCTGACTCGGAGCCATTTTCAGCACACACTAACTCCGATCCGATGCTTAGTAGCGAGCTGCCAGATCTACAACCTCTTTGTACTCATCAGAAATATAAGACTTCACTTTCATATTTCCCAACGATGGAGATACATACTTTACACCAACAAGCTTCATGCCTGCAATATTTTCTAACATTTCTTAACAACATATCATCATATCAAATCCAGACTATTTTTTGAGAATGTAACAAAATTTTTAACTTTCTCAATGTTATGCCATCAAAAATATGAGACCACACCCCATCAAACTGTTTTTCTCTACAAGGAATACCAAATACAGGCGGCAATTGCTGCCATTCTTAACACATCCATGCAGGAAAACACAAACTCATATATTGTATTGTTAAAATATGGAAGGAAATACTCACTCTCATTAACACGACCAAATAATAATCTTTCGCCTTTCCAAAATTCCAATGGCCTGCTCTTGATTCTTTTGCTTCGCCTCACCCCATTCTCAAACAGCGTGCCAGCATCTGTCAACATAATAATAATTTATAATTATCCAACCCAAAAGACCATAGCAGTCGTTATGGATTAGTATATATGAGGGAAACCTGCAAGACTGGGCCTGAATTTAAGTGCTTTCCTTTCACGGTTTCCAGGCATGCAACTGTTTTTTCTCGGTTGCTTTTTGGTCAATGGATGCTGCTTCTGAATTTTGCAAGGCAAACACCTCTTAATTACAAACAACTTGGAAAGAAAAACATGTTCTCCACATATGCATGCACCAATGCATCTATTACTTCACAAACCATGCTTTCAATTCTAATGTATAATGAAACTAGATATGTTGGTATGTAACTCAATTCAGCGTCCAATATAACTATATACTATTTACAATTCAATTAGATGTCAAAATCCAGTCTACAAAAGAACCAACACTAAAACACATATCCATTATGTAAACAAATTAGTAATGCAAAATTCTTGGCTACAATGCTCCACACACTGGCTTACTGGAGCAAATGAAAGATTAAACAAAACTTAGAAGGCCAGAAAAACAAGTTTCAAATAGAGGGAGAGATAAAAATGACATCTGGTTTAAATTAAGCAAAAAAAGAAAAGGAGTTGAATAAGCGACTTCACCGATAAGGAATTTCCTGGACTGCAAAATTTTCACAGCTATTTTTATTTTAATACAAGAATCATAAAATTCATCAAGAATCTATTTTATTTTATATTCTAGATCATTTTATCTCTGCTACGAAAGATGAAGGTGGACACATTTGCACATTTCTGATGATCAAAATTCATCCAGGTGGTTAGACAGTCAGGTAATTCCATAATTTATCTGTTATGGTCTTTCCCAGCCATCTTCACACAAATAAGTAATTGATGATGATCATCTAGAACTACAGTTCCTACGGAATCATATTTCACACACTGCAATGTGAAGACGCTCTAAACATACATGATGCACTTCCTCTTTCAAACAAAGATTCACTTAATGCAAAAGTGCAAATTAAAAAGACATCCCAGTTTTGACTGCTAAGCAATAAAAGAAGATGATCAAAGAGATAACCATGATATGTTGTTCAGGATTAATATCAGGCAATGCACTTTGCATATCCACTGAGTGGTTCTGAACAGCAGCAGAATTTGATTGATCTGCAAAACAAAGCAAAAAAAAAAAAAAAAAAAACAAAAAAGGATAAGAAATGTCTGTAAAATCTAGCTACAAGCTAATATTTCCAAGCCTCAGAAAACATAGAGGGAAAATTTCTTGTGGTGTGATTTATTACTAGTTAATTAATAGAGAAAGTCCATCCAAGTTAATAAGCCTTAAAATGACTAATACTAAATCAAAACACAATTACAGAAGCTGAAAGAAATATTATGTTAAAGTTAGCAGATGGATTTTGGAATATGAAGAAGCAACAAATCATACCAGATGGATTCTGATTGCCACTCCAGTTCTCACTGGTGTGTGCATCATTGCCATTGTGCTCTTGTTCTTCTGGAAATGCTGACATTGATGGCATATCTTCAACCTGAAATATATGTGTCTATAAGCTAGAAAATACATAATTACCAACTTATGTGAATGTCATACACCGTTCTTCATTGATAAAGTGGAGAATCTCACGTGCTCATCTGTTCGGCAAGATACATTATTCTGAATATCAGTTTCAGTTTCATTGGAGGTGTTAGTTTCGTCATCAGCTTCCACTTGTACTTGAGCAGGAGACAGTCCTTGAATAAATATGCATGTGTCGTGCATTTTCTACAAGCAATAACAATTTAGCCACCCTAAAAATTATTGTTAATCAACAATAGCAGGAGGGAAAAAAACCTCTTTGTCTGTGATGTCATGCCCACTGGGTTGAACTTCAGTGTCCCTATTTTGCATGCCTGAGTTTTCATCAGCAGTCCTGATATCCATATGATTCCAGCCATTGCAGCGCTCCATGCTCCCATGAGAATCACCTTGCCCGGCAGCTATAGTCTCTCCACCTGAGTTCTTCTCCAAAGACTGCTCATTATTTAACTGCTCCAAACCTCTCGTAACCATATGACCAGCATCAGTGTGACCATCGCAGTCACCCATCTGAGCATGAGATCCACTATGGCTGATATCTATATTAGAACTTTGTGCATTTGTCTCTGCAGATCTGTCAGCTTGATGGTCTGAAACGTTCATTCCTTTAATGTTACTTTCTCCATGCAAGTTGCCTGATTTGCTGAAATCCTTCACCAAACCAACCTGATCTGAGTTCTTGTTAATGTCATTCAGATCAATATTTAGTGGTGAGAATGGATCCCTGAGTGGATTTGATTTTAAAACCTGTTTTCTTAACAAAGCCAGAGAAGAAAATGGGCTTTTTGGTGGGGTGGGAGAAGTTAAATTACTTTGCGGACTTTCCTCCCACTGTCTCTTGCCACTAGTCCTTTTATCTGAATTCGGTAATCCCAACACCGACTTCCTAGCCTTTGGTATCCTCTCACCCAATGTCATATAGTCAGTTCTAGCATCAGGGAATTCAGGCATGCACAAGGCAGAAAGATCAGGAGGTTTCATTTGAAACTGCTCTTGCAGTATGGACAAAACCCTATCATCATCTAAGTCCTTAGCATCACGAGACAGGAGTTCATCCAAAATTGCATTGACCCTGCCTTCTTTTTCAGTTATTAAGCCTGTGAAAGAGAAAAGTAACTTTGTTGATGAAAAACCCCAAATATAAAAAGCAAACAGACAGACAATGCTTAAATGAACTAGGGTAAAGCACATGGAGTATTATTTCAAGTTTTCAACAACAAAAACAGAACCTACAATGACATCATTTACAATTGAAACTCACAGATAACTCTTTTGCTTCAATAGCAGGTACTCACCTGTGAGTTCTAATTCCTCTAGCTCAACATCATTACTGTTTTCTTTCTGCAAATCAGATTTCAGTGCACAAAGATCATCCTGCTTGAATGTTTCTTGTGAGGACATATCTGTATCATTGTCATCAGGTGGCACTGATGAAAAGCGGTGTTTGTATCTAACCGATTTCCTGTATTAAAAAAAAAAAACTTTAATAATTGCAAGAAAAAAGCAGAAAGCAAACCATAGTAAGGAGGACCCAACATCTCTGGATGACAGCTAATGAAATTCTTGAACATACCCCAAGATTCCTGGTCTACGGCGCCTTGCAGTAGTGGGCAAGTTGTTGATATTTGAGTCATCAGCTACAACACCCATCTGCCTGTTAAGTTCTTGTTTGGCATCTTTACATCATGCAAAAATAAGCCAAAGAGTCATAGCAGTTAGTGCAAGAGAACAAATAGGTTAACAGGAAAAAGAAGAAAAAAAAATGCATGCATCATATGATTCAAACTTAAAATAATATTATAGAGGCAGGTAAGGGAGGGATCAGGGAAATAATATTTACTTTCTAACTTCTCGCATGCTAAGAAATATTCTTCTGGGTCCTGAAGTTTATCAACGTCCAAACTTGATTGCAAGCTAATGTTAGGCTGACTGCTATAGGAATTGTAAGGTTAATCAAAGCCATAATTTTCAAAAGAAGATCATTTCAATGAAAACAAATAAGGGTTGAGACTTTACCTAGTATCAGGCTTCATAGAAAATCGAGCCCTTTTCCGGCCAAGTCCTGGCCTTCGCTCTCGAGGCATCTCCTTTTCCACCTTTGCAGCAACATGATCATCTAAATCCAAAGATGCCTTAAATCTTGGAAAATTAGCATTCAGAATCTCTGAACCATTATCAACAATGGCCTTCGACTCTTCTAGAAGCTTTTCAGCATTCCTTAGTCCCTTCATGACAATGAGTAATAAATCAACATTATTAACTACTGTTATTATGTTATAATTTGGATTTACAATAGGAAATAACAAATGCCCCAAAGTTGATCAAGTTAGCAACACTTCCGATTACTACACTTACATTCTACTTCAATAACAAACAAATGAAAAATAAATAAATAAATACTTCGAATCTCTTAGCATGTGAGCATAAGTTCATATCAATAACCTACGGGAACCAAAAACAAACAAATTACAGGAACAGCGAAACTTGAATAAAGCATATAGATCGAGAAGAGTACCATAGACTTCATTAATTGGTGAATTGAGTTGAGGTTGTTCGGTTCAGAAGGAATTGAATCTTCAGACTGAACCCTAATTGTTTGGGGTAAAAGAGGGAGCCCGGCGAAGGCACGGAGCGGGTCGGGTGGATCCATTGTCAGAGGCTCAGTTGTCATCTTCCCATAAGAACTTCAAATCCTGAGCTAAGAGCGTAATCTGAAGGATCTTTTGCGCGAGAAGCCGAACGTGAGGAGTGAGGAGTGAGGAGTGAGGGGGACTGAGGATTCGGGCAAAATTTGAAACAAATAATTGAGCGGGATTGAGCGAGTGGATAAAGAATAAGAGGGGTGAAATCAATTTTTTTTGTTTGTAGGATATCATATGGAGTTCTTCGAGTATACTAATTTTGTCAAATTTAGTCTTAAATTTTTAAATTAACTATTTATGGTCCTTTGAATTTCAAATTGTTAACATATGTAGTCCAAGTTAACTACACATGATCTTTTAACTTTCAAAATTTAACCAGTCGTGAAGGACCATGGCCGGTTAAAATTTAATAGTTGAAGAATCATAGGTGGTTAACTTGGGCCACGGCAATTTAAAAATCGAAAAACTGCTAGTGGTCAATTTGAAAGTTTAGGACTAAATGTGGCAAAATCACTATATTCGGAGGACCTTAGATGGTATTAACTGCCCTTATGTTATCTGTACTTTTATTTTGGCTACAATCTTTTTTTCCCATTCATGCTTCCTCAATAGTGGAGTTTTTTTTGTGGTTTTTGAGGAGTTTTTGTAAGTGTGATTATTAAAGAGAATATAGGTAAGAAGAAAAAAAATGGACAAAAATAAAATAAATTTGATTTCAAAAAACTAAACAACGTCATAAACGCGCCCGCTGGGCGCATTTTGTGCCTTTCACGTGTGGGTGACGAGATGTGTTTATTCTGTGGTGGGTCCCACATTTATGCAAAATCTCAGGTCTTTGCAGGAGATGCTCAAACCCTCCCTCCATCTCTTTCAAGGTGGCAAAAAACTCCTCAAAATCTATGATAAATTTGCTCATGGGATGTCCTAGATCTTTGAAAATTTAATTTCACTTTTGGTCACACGACTTTTGAGATCTTATAACATTTAGTACACAACTTTAAATTTTTTCAATTTTGGTGCCTAAGTTTATTATTTTTATCAGTGTTGGTCCTTTCGGCTAAATTGACGATGAAATGTTGCCAAGTTTTAAATTTTAGGGGTAAAATAATCATCCAAAGAAAAGAACTTCAATATATAAAGTTATAAACAAAAGAAAAATCATATTAAGAGAAAAAGAACGGTTTGTCACTTACAAGAGTAGGGAATGTTGAAGGTCAAGACTATTTGAGCTTATTGAGGAGGATTGGTAGCGTCACGAGAGTGGGACAATCCTTGTGTTCCGATTTGGTCTAACATTGAATCATGAGAGTGGCATGTTAGTACACCGAATTGGTGTTGCAATCTTTGAACCCGAAGTGAAGTATCATAACCCTCAATCCTTTGTTTTGGCATTAAACCAATATAACCCCATTTTTCCACCTTTATGTGAGACCCCAAAATACTTTTCCATAAAACTTCTATTTTATTTCATTCTAAAATAAAAACTATGAATATAATTTTATTCCTGCAATGATTTTTGGCTAAATGAGTGTATAAGTAAAATATTTTCAAAACTTCCTATTTCAAATGGTTTAATACAAAATATTGGTATATTTATTTATGGTTTTCAAAATCCTATTTTAGGGGAATATTTGTTATTTAAAAACTTGATCCAAAAGTCTATTTGAGACAAACATGTGAACTTGATAGTCAAATTTTTGACCCAACCTTGATTGCAAAATGAACCCAACCTATTTCTAAATTTTTATGATATACTCTTACCTGAACTTGATCCAACTTTTTACTCAAAATTATAATCCAAAATTTTAAACCGCGAAATTCCCTTTCTACCCCTCCCTAGCCATTCACTCCATCTCCTATCTACCTAGGGTTTTGAGCCCCTATTTAAATTACACTATTTCATTGCTAGAACTTAATCCATCCCTTGCTCTTCCTCACTCTCATCATCAAGAGGCTTTCATGTAAGAAGACAATATTAGTTGGCTATCTTCTTATTCTCTTTCTCTTCGCTTCTTCCTTACTTCTTCTTTTCCTCAACTATTTTTCCTTCTTTTTCTTCCCCTACATTATCTCATTGTTTATGTGTGTGTGTGTGTGTGTGTGTGTCTGTATGCTTATGTATGATGTTTGTTTTCTATGATCTTGTTTGGGGTTGATATGAGGTGAAGGAAGTGGGAACCACCGAAGGAAGGAGGAGGGATTCACAGTAGTAGGCTAGCAAACTCGAGGTATAACCCATGGATGCCCAAAACCTATTATTTTTACCCAAAATCTGTGATATATGTTATGTGTGTTGATAGTACTAATTGCCACGTAATGCGGTAATTAAATAAACACGAGACCAATTAAAGCAATTAAATAGCTCTTATTGATCACAGTGAAGGCCCTAAGTACAATCTAAATGGTTGCTCTGAGTACCGACTGACTGCGGTCGGGGTTCTCTAACAACAACCTATCGATCGTCCAAAAGCCCCTCACATTGTCGCTACTGCGGGTATTTATAGCCGCGGAGCCGGACACAAGTCCGGCCGTCCGGCATGTCTCCCACGTAGCAACCACGTGTCGCCGTCCCGGGTGCCCTGCCTGTCAACGTGTGGAGCCGCCACGTGTTCCTTTTCAGCTCTCTCGCTAAAGGGCTACCACTCGGTGGTCGACAATGCCACTCGGGTAACTCCCGGTCGGACCCCGACCGGGTTCTCCACAAAAAACCCGACCTGTAACCTGCAAGGACAAGAAGAAAAGGACGAAGGCACATCGGTCGGGGTAGCACTATGTCGGTCGGGGTATTCCCTACCAAGAGCCCCCCAGCCTGGGCCTTTTTGACCGTCCGGGAAAAAACAGGACGGGATGAAGAAGCCCAACCGTCAGCCACCAAACCGACCGGCCAGCTGTCATTCCTTCCCTTGCCATGTGTCGACGACTGCCGGCCTCTGCGACTGCAACGGTCGCCTCGGAATCAGCACTGGCCGTGTCACGCAAGTGGACTGGTTTCCCGCCCAAACGCTCTCCTATAAATAGGCCCTTGAGGCCCTCATTTGAACTTTCCTCAATCTTCTGAATCGATCAGCATACTTAGAGAGTCCCGAGCGAAGTACTTCAGCAGACCAGTCGAGCAAAGGATCTTCGAGCTTTTCAAAGTCTCTTCGATCGGTAAGCTTTCATATCTTCTGCTTTTGTACCTGCTTTATATTTTCATATAGCAGTTGGTAGGGCAAGACTAACTTCGACCCAAACGTCCCGAGCCCCATACTAACCCCGACCGACCTTTAGGTAGAAAGAATGTCGGACTCGGACAGCTAGAACGTGTCGGTCGCAGATTACGACGACGAGGTCGAGCAAACCAGCGAGGATGTGGACATAATGTCCTACTCGCCGGAGGTTGTTCAACGACCACAACAAACTCCCGAGCGAGCCCCCGAGCAACAACGGTCATCGAGCTCGTCTGGGACGTCGGGATCGAGCTCCATCGGATCGGGGAGGTCGAGCGGGGAGACGTCCACGAGCGGACGAAATTCCCCGGCCGAGGGCGTCCGGGAGACGCCCACGAGGGTAATTGGGGATTACCCTCAAGTCGAGCCCCAGGAGGGCGATCGAGCGAACGACGCGGAACCGGTCGAGGAAGGCCCGGCCGAGCAGGCGACGCCGGGCGGGGACGGGTACGAGTTCCTCAACAGCGAGAGCGTCGAGAACCAGATGAGCAAGCTGACTAAAGGCGAAGCAGCCAAAATCGCCGCAACACTCGCTGGTCGGGTTGAGTTCGACACCAGCCGCCAGCTCGGGAACATAATTGACCGGCACCGGGGAAAGTAGATCGGGATGCACTACGACTCCCTAATGGCCCCGATCACTTTCCCCTTCCCGGGCCTTCTCACCGCATTCCTGGGTTACTACCAGGTCGTGCCCGGACAGATTTGCCTGAACGCGCACCGGATGATCGCGTGCTTCCCCCAGATCTGCAGTGTGCACAACTTGGCTTGCACCATGGAGCTGTTCAACTTCGTCTACCAGGTGAAGGTGTTGGCGGCCACGTATGGGGGCGGGTTCTTAATGACCCAATCCCGAGCAGATCTGTGCTCGATCGAGGGCCTGCCCGGGAATAATCGGGGATGGAAGAACCAGATATTCTCGGTCAAATACGACCCGTGGATCCTCCCGGTCGAGAGGGTTTGGAGCCAGCGCTTCCGGAAGCAAGTCATTCCGGTCGAGACTCAGGCCCTCAAGGACGCGGTCACCAAGATATCGAGCGAGATCTACGAGTACCGGATCTTCAAGACGCCCGAGAGCTATGAGGCGGCCCAACTGCCCGAGCCGGTGTACGACGTGCCTGAGAAGTACAAGCCCGAGCCGAGGGGCGTAACGATCGCGAGGGCGCCCGCTCGGGGCAAACGGAAGGGAAAAGGTCTAACACTAACCAATTCTCCCCGACCTTAGCCCCCGAACGTTTTCTCGTCCCGATCTAACCACCTTCCTTTTATTTGTTTGTAGAGATGGCCGGCTTCGGAGATGACGACGCCCCTCTACCCCCGGTGGCCAAGATCGTGCTTGGCAAGAAGAAACCGAAGACCAAACCGGCCGGGGAAAAGGAGGTCCCACTCGCCCGACCGATGGGCGCCTCAACTGTCACCACGCCCGAAGGCTATGTGGTGGATGCGTCCGAAGTCCTGGTCGCCCGGGTGGCAGTTGGCAAAGGCAAGGAGAAGGTGCCCGAGAAGGGCGTGACTAAGAGCGGGGCCCTGAAGCGTCGTCGCGAGCAGTGCAACCCGAGCCCCTCGGGCGGGGGCAGCAAAGGCGGGTCGTCTATCCTTGCCCGGATCGGCAACGCCGGGCCAGCTAAGGAAGACGTGACCAAGCTGACCCCGAGCCAAGTGGCCGAGAAGATCGGCTACGACTTGGCCGAGGTAAAACTTTCTTCCTCTCATCTTTATACGCAAGTAACCCCACTCGGGCTAACTCCGATCGTTTCCATATTACAAATCTCCCGAGCGGCCCAGTTTCTTCAACAACGGGCTCTGCAGGCCAATGAGGCCGAAGCTCTGAAGAAGGTCGCCAACCGGCGACTGCAAGAAGTCTGGGACCTCCAAGCGGAGCTTAAGAAGGCCAAAGAGGAGCGGGACCTTTCCGAGAAGGTCGCCCAACAAGCGGTCGGGGAAGTTGCAGAGCTGA